ATAATGACAAATATTTGTCATTATTAAACCCTGATATTATATATATATATTATATATGTATATGATGACACTCCTGATATTATTATGCAGACTGCCCAGAAGAGAGACCAAAAGAAAGCAAGGCTTGGTGAATCGACCAGCAGCAAGCTTGCCAAAAAGTAAACATCTAAAACGATATTTCTGTTTACCTGTATTTAATATGTACATAGAAAAAGATCAGAATCTTGGTTGCTTCTGTTACATAGTATTTGACGAAGATGTATAAAATAAAATACTGTACTCAATGACATTACATTTTTAACTCAAACACTTCTGACCACACATGAAAATCTGCTCGAGTTTCAAAGTATAGATCTCACCTGCATGAATGATTGTGATTTCAATATTGTCATCTAATAGCGACATAAGTGGCTACAAACATATCTTCTAATGCTACACCATAATTAACGTGTGTTATATAGACCATGCACGGGTCGTGCGAGACTGCGCAATGTGTATAAAAGGTGTGCGGTTGGCAGCATCAAGCTAGATCACGTGTTTGTCTCCATACGGTGTTCCAGGAGTTTGCCCCATCCACCACGTCCGGTGTCATAGTCCTTTCGATACTCGTCTCGAACCTACACAGTAAAAACACATTCGGAAATATGCGGAAATTCCATTTTTTTATTCATTTCTTTTCGTAACGGACAGTAACAGTCCAATATAGGAATACAGAAATATAGAGCATGTGGAAACTCCAAGCTGGATTGTCTGTGTCAATTGACAAAATCTCTTCGTGCCACACTTGGGATAAAACAATTCGCTCCATGAAATTCTGCACAAGTTTGCCAACTACATCCAAACCTTGAATGGAGGTTTTGAAGAGACTTACTTGTCCACCACTCTTGCCTCTCCCATATTGCCGTCCTTCTTTGAAACCAGCATCCCAGTCCGCTCTCACTATTCTGTCGTCCAGACGCGTCCCATTAATGTAACGAATCGAATTCTCTGCATTACCCCGAGTGTAGTATCTGATGCTCCACCGTTAAGGTAACATCACACATCATCCACGCATTTAAAATATTATCACAGATGTAACCTTATCCTGCTAAATGTCTATTTAGTATTAGTGCTTGTAACTTACAACTAAAAAAATCAGATTTACTTACAATGTAAGTAACTTCCTACCCTAGTAATAAGTTTTTATGGATGTCTTTATTTTCTTTATACCTTTACAAAGCGTATAAACAGCACAGAACTTTATGCTAGATATGGGATTTACTTCTCATGGCTAAACGTTACGTGGATATAGCATATTAAGTGCACGTGTAGAAGTAATGTATGCACTATGCCAACATGAAACAATAGCTTCACCTACCCATTTTGTTAATCAATGAGCTGCTGAATTTGGTCTGGCACATGAATGTATAATTAATAGGGCCTAACCAATCGGACTCTAGTTATAGATTTCAATGATATGGTAAACGTTATACATAATTCATATTTTATTGTTCGTATTATGCTGTATATACTAGAATTCCGTCATGTCTACAATAACAAGAGCCGCAGAGCGTCTGGGCTCATCTGACTCTAGTTGCTCCCATTTCACTGCGCGTTTGCTTAAAACCCACAAGAAAGAGGTGAGAAAACTGGCATTCTGGCGCAAACGCCGACTGTTTGCCAAACAATGGAGCCTCGAAGTGGTGACGTGACGTCACATGTTTTTATCTTTGCTGCGCCCGTACCGCTGTACCGCAGCACCGCTGCACGGTTGCTTGGGGATTCGGGAAACTGTCAACAACACTGGAGGTATTTTCAAAATACCTTTAATAAGACAACGTGCAGTGAAATGGGAGGAACTAGAGTT